GGGGAGCCTGCCCTCACCTGCATCAGCAGAGGCAGCGATACTAGGATCCACTCAGCAGCCAGTTCTGTCATCATGGAAGGCAAGGAAATCCCCATCAAGAGTGAGCCTCCATCAAAACCACCTGCATCTGCCCCCCCATCGATCCTGGTGAAACCAGAAAACTCAAGAAATGGCACTGAAAAGGTAGGAATGGAATGACATTGGGGTCTGATTCTTTAGCCCCCAATTTTTGCACCCTGTCCCAGCACCTGAGATTTTAGTATTGGTGGACAAGGACACAAAATGGCAGCCACAAAAGATTCCTCAGACACAATATCCCCCATCATCATACTATTCACACCTTCACCTCTCTTTTGCTTCCCAAATATTTTATTTATTATTTCTTTATTTTGGTGGAACTGGGATTTGAACTCAGGGCTTCAAGCTCACAAAGCAGGCTCTCTACCACTTGAACTACATCTCCAGTCCATGTTGCTCTGGTTATTTTGGAGGTGAGGGCTTATGAACTATTTACCCAGGCTGGTCTCGAACTACCATCCTCCAGATTTCAGCCTCCCATGTAGCTAGTATTATAGGCATGAGCCTCCAGCTCCCAGCCCCAAATATTTTATACTTCCTTCTTTTGAGGAGCCTGGAAGAAAACATGGCTTTGACATCAGACAAATCTTGATTTGAACTCCAGCTCTGGCTGGGTCAGCCTTCTGGGGCTTTTTTTTTTTTCCCTCTCTAATCTATAAAATGGAAGTATAAGAATACTAATGGCCACATAGCCATGGAGAAGAGATTAAACAATGTAAGATCTGTAATGACATATAATTACTCATCAGATAAAAGGGGCAACTGAGGCACAAGAGAATTTAAGTGACATCAAAATCCCATAGAATGATAACTCCAATGACTGACTTATTGTGACCTTTGTGGTAGAGAGCAGATCTGCTAAGGGTTAGTCCAGAGCTTTCTGCTAGAAGACATGGGTTTTTGTAATATCCTAGAAGCAAGAGGGATGGTGGAAAGGAAGAAGTAACATGAAGGAATCAGGTGGCATTCATTTAACTTTCAGTTTATCAAACATCACTACCACCATGGCTGCCATACCACCATCACACATTGCCCCCAGAATGGAAAGAGGAGGTCGTTTCCTCCTGTTGATAAACATTTACTAAATCCTAATAATCTGGCATGTGCCCTGCTACATACTTCACACGTCCTTATCTCACTTCATCCTGACAACAACCCTCTGAAGTAGGTGTTGTTTTCATCCTCATTTTCGTTTTTGTTTTTGCTCTGTGGTACAGGGATTTTTTTGTACTCAGGGTCTTGTGCTGGCTAGGCACACACTCAACCACTTGAGTCACACCTCCTCCCTCAGCCTTTTTGCTTTCAGTTATTTTTCAGGTCTACCCTCAGACCATAATCCTCCTCCCTACAGCCTTGCACATAGCTGGGATTACAGGCATACACCACAATGCCTAGCTTGTTCTTTAAGGCTCACTTTTGCCTGCTATGGCCTCGAACTGCAATCCTCATATCTCGCCACTTCTCAAGTAACTAGGATTGTGGATGTGAGCCACTGTTTTTGAAACATGGTCTCACTACATTGCCCAGGCCTCAAACTCATGATCCTTCTGTTTCAGCTTTCTCAGTGCTGGGATTACAGATGTGCACAACTACACCCAGCCTCATCCTCATTTTAAAATGAGGAAATAGGGTTCAAGAACATTACTTGAAGCCACAGAGCTGACACACATAAAAAGAATTCAAATCTGATCTAAAAAGTCATGCTCTTTTTGTGTGTGTGGTATGGGGCTTGAACTCATGGCCTACACCTTAGGCCACTCCACCAGCCCTTTTTTATGTTGGGTATTTTTGAGATTGAGGCTCGCAAACTACTTGCTTAGGCTGACTTTGAACCGTGATCCTCCTGATCTCTGCCTCCTGAGTAGCTAAGATTACAGGCGTGAGCCACCGGTGCCCAGCAAAATTCATGCTCTTAATGCTAAGCTAAAGCTTATAGGGAAAGCATTTAGAAAAAGTTAGCATTGACTGAATAAATGTTAGGAGCTCTTATTCTGACGTGTTTAGTAATCCCCCAGACCTCATCAAAAATGATGAGGAAACTTGGATTCTCACTTAGAGACCCAAAGGTTGAATTTCATGGAAAAAGGAAATCATTTCCAGGCAGTGCCACAGGACGCTTCATTAAACCCTAGGACAGGGACTGGGCAAAGCAAATACCGTTAATTACCAGGCTGATAGATAACAAGCTAGGAGAGGTGAAAGGAAGCTCAGGTGCTGCCAGGATGGGGCAGGGCCCCGTGCACCAGATCTTTGATTCTTTCTTTCTGAGACAGGGTCTCAGACTGGCCTTGAATTCACAATTCTCCTGCCTCCGCCTCCTGACGGGTGGGGTTACAGACATGCGCCACCATGCCTGAACTGTGCCTTTGATCTTTTAAGGAGACACATGAAAACCTCATTTTCATATGCAGTCTTTATGTGTAGAGAAGTAAATCAAACTCTTAAACATTCTGAAAGGTAAATCCTGCCAGCAGATGTCCAGGGAGCAAGCTCTGTGCTGAGAGCTCACAAGGCTCTTGTGGAAATCTCTAAATGGGGCCATCAGGAGAGGCCTCAGGAAGATCTGGGCCTTAAGGGAACAGGGTGGAAGGATCAGAGAAGGTGGACTTGTACTTCCCCAAAGGGAACAAACCCTCTTGCCTCAGGCCCTTTTCACGGGCTGTTGCCCACCCAGGTAATTCCTATTCATTCTTCAGTCCTCAATTTAAATAGCTCTGCCTGTGAGAAGCCTTCCCTGACCCCCATCCCAGCTGGAGTTAGATGCACCTCCTTAGTTCTCAGGATCTTCTATATCCCCCATTATAGCACTTGTTTTCTGGTCATCAGTTTTGTTCACTCTTAGATTCACAGCAGCTGACAGAGCATATGATGCATAGTAGACACATTAGACACACATACTTGCTGAATGAACACCACAGAAATGAGACATTTCAAGTGAGGACAAGGGCTGGCAGAGTGGTTCAAGTGGTAGAGCACCTGCCTGGCAAGCATGAAACCCTGAGTTCAAACCTCAGTATCGCCAAAAAAAAGAAAGAAAAAGAAAATCATATCATCTGTCAAGCAGTAAGAGCCTCTGTATAGCAAGCCTGAGGCCCTGAGTTCAAACCCCAGGGTCACCAAAGAAAAAAGACTACAGTGGGGACAAGTGTAGAAAAACATGACTTCACTCCCCAGAGAAAGACTACATAGCTCACCCATGTTGCTTTGCTCTCCTTTCTCTTGCAGCAAGTCAAAACTGTGAGATTTCAGAATTACAGCCCTCCTCCTACCAAACATTACACCTCCCATCATCCCACCTCCGGAAAGCCTGAACATCCAGCCACCCTCAAGGGGTCTCAACCTGAAGCAGCCTCCTTGGGTCCAGAGATGACCATCCTATTCGCCCACCGAAGTGGTTGCCACTCTGGACAGCAGACAGATCTCCGAAGAAAGTCAGCTTTTGGCAAGGCTATGACCCCAGTGTCCACTGCCTCAGCTACACAGATCACATTTCCCAACAAATGAGTCTAGGGGTGGTTTTTCTTAAACCACGAAGAGGTGAATTGCATTTAAATACAGTCCGCCTCCAGTGAAGGCATCCTGCCATTATTTGGTGACTTGAACATGGGTCAAGTCACCAAAACATGCCCATTTTACCTCCAGGAAAGGAAAAGTGGGAACAGGAATTGCTGCCCTGCTTTGGGTGGCTTTCCAAACAATGTACTCAGGAGAGTGTCACACCTATGTCCTCCAGTGGAGAGTATGGCCTCTCATTCTGTGTAGAGTTTCTGTGTTGTCCTAAAGGGGGCTTCAACCACAAGTGCAGCAATGGTCAGATTGTTGGCATTGCTTCTTTGTCCTTATTACCATTTTCTCCTCACTGTCACACTAGAACAACTTCTATGCACTGGCTTCGTCCACAGACTCATAATTCTGCCTACAAAGGGAAAATTTGGGAGAAGGATATGAGATACTTTGTTCTGAGAAACCTCTAAAACTAAAGGAAGTCAGCTTTCTGAGTTTACCCCAAACAAGAAGGTCAGAGAGAAAACTGACTACCAAAATATCAAACAATTTGCATTGTCAAATTTTTTGCTTTTCCTGGTTTCTTCTCATTTGGGGGAGACAATTCAACAAAGTTAATGAGAACGTTCCAGTCCAAGACTAAAGGAGGGGTGCTTCTTAGAGGAAAGATGCTGTCAGTTCTGGACCAAGAAGGTTAGAGAGGGAAAGGGGAGAAAGGAGGAGGAAAAAAAGGGAGGGTGAAAAAGTACAGAGAAGATGACGAAGGGATAAGAGTTGGAGAGAAAGATGAACTTATCAGGGAAGAAAATAAAAAAGGAATGGGGAAGGCAACCCTTACATTACTGATAGAGAAGGAAAAGGACAGTCTGCAATGGAAAAGGGGTAAAAACCAGGTGACCCCACAAACACGGGACTGAAATGAGTGGACCCAGCTAGGCAGAGCCTTGTAAACAGGGGTGAAGGAGCCATCCCAAAGAGCCAAGGCCATGCTGTAAGACAGCCCATTAATTCTCATTAAACTTAATTGTTGTGATTTAACATTCATTGCATGCCCATCAATGTGGACACTGACGCATCAATGCCATTTGCTAAAGCTGGGTGCCATAAAAAAAAAAAAAAAAAAAAGCCGGTCTAATTAGATCTTTCCCATGGACAGTTCTTGAAGGTCTTAGGATTACAATCATCATTTACCCACCCACACACTTGGCAAACCAAATTATCCATAGACCTTTCCAGACCTTAATAGACCAAAACAACCATCATCTTGCCAAGGAATACTCTGTGTCAGATCTTTCAGGCTGGTAGAATGTTGTCTAGCATTTCTGAGAGATATTGTGCTCCACAAAATCAACATGCCCAACTCCATCCCTCATTGACCTGAATGGAATCATCCAGGTGGAGAGGTGGGACAGTCACTAGGACAGGGAAATATGGTATAAGTTGTCAGAATATGAGTCCCTATGCCTCATCATTACCTTTTAGGGTGAAGTTTAGCAATGAATTTAGCAGTCTATGCCCAAAATGGCAGAGATATTGGCATGACGAGCCAACCAAAAATTTAGCCATTCCTTAGTAGCAATGGATCCAGTGAGTTTTCAACTTTTGTGACTGTCAATCAGGTTACTTAAGTGTAATGGAGACATCCCATGAAATGCAAATGAAAATGGAACACAAAACAGGAGAGTCTTCCTATCATTCGTATCTCTACAGGATGACCTCTCTGAGAAATGAAAACAACCCCAAGCCTTGTCACCCCCATTCCATCAGACCTTTCAATCATGCCCAGCTCGCTGCCTCGGAAACCAAATCCCATCTTTGTAGAGCTTTGTGAATGCGTGAAAGGGACACGGAATGTTGTTTCCAAGTAAAAATTGGCTTCACTATATGTGAAGTCATTGACATACTTCTAGCATTTACTACGTGCTAGGCACAGTGCTGAGGACTGTAAGACCCATACTCACGTAATTTCCACAACACTTTGTAGGGCATCTATAATTATCTCCGTTATAGAGCCAAGGAACTGGAGGCTTGAAGATTAAGCACAGACAGCAGCAAAGTGAGGATAGAGACCTGAGCTATCGGACATCAAAGCCCAACAGGGCACTGTGGAGTATGAACCAAAAGCCACCCTTGACTTCAGGACACAGACTCCAGACTACTAAGAGAAGCATAGTGCAATTATGGCTACAAATGCAAAAGAGCCCAGCAGGCTCTGCTGGACACAACCTGAATCCAAATCTTCATTTATCGCTTTCTGGCCACGTGATGCAGGGCAAGCTACTTAATCTCTCAGAGCTGCCTCTCTTAAGTAGGAATGATAATGGCTGTCAACCTCACTGGGCTATTGTGATGACCCACTGAGATAATAAAAATACAGGGACTTAACACAGTGCTGCCACACAGTGAACACCTAACAAATACTAGACGTGGATACTTTTAAGAGAAAAGGTCATCGAAATTCTAGGTGGGGAACTCTGAAACAAGGGCACGCCCAAGCAAACCAACCCAGCCCAGTCTCAGAGGTCAGAATACAGACTGAGCTAAGTCCTGAAGGGCAAGCAAGAGTCCAACAAAGTGATGGGAGAAAGGGCATTCCAAGAAAGGAATGGGACTTAAATGTAGCAAGTAAGCCAAGTTCCATTTACTTAGAGGAATCCACTCCTTCGTGGAACATTCCAGAGATCCCAGATAGAACCCTAGCATCCAAAGTCTGAAGATAAAAACCCCATACTGTGAGAGTTCACCTCAGTGGGACTCAGAAGCCCTAGGATCCCAAAAGTGCCTCTTTGTCCCATGGTCAGATGCAGGACCGTGGTGCCAGGAAAGGTGTGCTTGATTGGAGGAAGTGGGAGGACAGCTAAGAGGTGATAGCAGATCACAACCAGCCAAGAAGAGTGTCTGAGGACCATGTTTAAAGAAATGATCTCATTAATCAGCATCAAGATCCTCACTTAGGGCTTGTCTCTTTCCCTTCTCATGTGCATCCAGCCTCACCACCTCTAACCTACATTCTTACCATAGACAGGGCTTTTGGAGCAGAAGAGTATAAAGCAGTGTCCACTACTGTGACTTGGTAAGACTCAAGACTGACTCAATACATGATTCTGTGACTTCCAGCATCTCTTTTTTCTTTTTTTTTTTTCTTTGTGGTACTGGGGTTTGAACTCAGGGTCTAATGCTTGCTAGGCAGATTCTTTACCACTTGAGCCATACTCCCAAACCCCAGCATCTCTTGAAAAGTCAAAATGGGGGGGAAAAAGTCAGAGGGTTTGTCCACATCAGGCCTGCTTGCCTGAGCAGCAGCAGTCCAGGGGAGCTGGGTCAGGGTCGAGGCGGCTTCAATTAAATGGACATTCACTTGTCAGTTTGCCAAGCTCCACACACCTGCTTCACTCACTCATATGACCCGCACCTGATATAGGCATAGTCCCCTTAGAGACTATGTGCTGGACTCCCCTCAAGTCATCATAAGCCCCTGAAAAGTTAGAGCTGAGTCTAGAGATCAGCTGAATCAGGACGCTCAGGTCTCCAAGTGTAATGAGCCTGACCTGGGACCTATTTTGAGGTGGCAACTAGGCATCTGTGTTTTTAATAATCTCCCCAAGCAACTCTGAAGCACATAAAGGAGGATCTAATCCACCTTTCTCACACGGGATAGCAGAGCTGACATTCAGGGGGAGTACGGCTACACTGATGATTAAAATATTGAACCAGGTCTGTGCTGATAGGTGAATTACAGATGCTCTGAGCTTTCTGAGACCTCCCTTCTCCTACACCCTAGCCCTGCCCCCAGATCCCCTCCATCAGCAGCTAACAGATTAAGGCCAAGCACAACTGAGAGCTCCAGAAATAAAACCCTTCTTCATTCTGATTGACTAGTGCTGACGCCATACTTACTACTGTCTTGACTACTACCCAGAACAGATCACCCAGAGGTCACCCAGCCACCGAAGAGCACGGCCAGCAAGCCCTGCACTCTTCCACTCTTCCCTGTTCCATGCTCTCTAGCCTGTCTTTTTCAGCTGATGCCTTCCTTCATGGGCATAAGCAATGCTTGTGCATGTCCCAAATCCTTGCTTGGGTTTTGGCAGATATGGAAGTCACTTGTCTTCATGAGATGAGCAGGCATCTATCCTCAGCTTCATCCTCACCCACCTCTGACCACACAGGCCAGTCACACACCTCTGGAGTCCCTTCCCAGCTATTCAGCCGTGGCAAGGAGCCTAATAAAGTCCTCTCAAGTCTCCCCAGCTGAGATGGAGTGTTTAACAAGCTGGCACAGGTCAGGGCTGGAGCCAGCAGCCTGCTGCCACTGATGCTTCCCTTGTTTATGTCATGCAAAAAGAGACCTGAGCTCTCCCTTTGAGAGAAGAGACTATTAGCACTTCTAGCAATCTCTCACAGGACCATGACAGACAGTCACCTAGGGTATGTGTTTGGGAGGGGAGATCAAACCAGAGAAAATTAACTCCAAAGATCCTTGTGGCAAGTTGGTGTCTTTGGGAATAAATCATGCAAGGACATTTTGCTTAAAGTAGAGCTTTCTGCTAGGATTATATCCTAGACCAGAGCTCATACAAAATGTTCCCAGCAGGGTTTCTATCCACTGTTCTACACTTTGACAAAACAGAGGTGGGATCCAAGGTGTACCTTCACATCGAAGATAAAGAGTGTATGGAGGGACACGGAGGGGTATTACACACTCACCCACCCATTCATTCAATGACAGTTTGGACCAGGCAATGTGTATACAATGGTTAACAGGATAGACACAATTAAGTATAGTCCTCATAGAGGGGTGTTTCTTACTAGTTTTTTCTGGATTTGGGCCTCCTTTCTGTTTTTCTTCCTCTTTAATTGTTAAATATTTCATATATATGAAATACACTTTGACACATTTAGAATTATATGGGATCATAAAGCAACAAAATACCAGCCACCCAGCTTTTTAAAGAATAATAATTCTCAGTACCACTGAAGTCTACTGTGTGCCTTTCCCATTCCACTTCTTCCTTTTGCCAACCTCCCCCACAGCCAGAGTCATGAATCCCATGCCTATCACTGCCTTATAATGTTCTTCACATGGACCATATGGAATTTTAGTAAGCAAATATTGCAAAGTAAGGCATTGACCCTGCATGAACACTGGAGCTGCCATCTGGCTTCTGTCACCACCAGGATTCTATGGCTGTGACTCATTCTGGGAGTTTTCATGCATCAGCATGTCTGGTTTTCAGAGGTTCTAGCCTAGAGGAATTTTACAAGAATTCTTCCAAATACAACTCTGTGTCTTCTAAATAAGAAAATATGATTTGAGGCAGTGCCCAAATTAAGTAGGGTTTCTTTTAAGCACCTGTCCTCCGGACCTTGCTGCTGGCACTTCTGAGTAGCCAACTACAGAAACTAAAAGTAACTCCTCAGAACCTGAAATCGAAAGGGAGCTCGCTGCTGCTGACAAACTCTCATAAGCACCTTGTGAGGTACACAGGGAAACACAACAGAACAGAAAACTGAGGCTCAAAATGTTTCAATTCCTTGCCTAAGGTCATAAAATCAGTTTGATAATGGCGTGAAAATTTAAAAAGAAACAGTGCCAGGCACCAGTGGTCCATCCTGTAATCCTAGCTACTTGGGAGACTGAGATTGGAAGGATTGTAATTCAGGACAGTCTGAGTAAATAGTTTGCAAAACCCCATCTCCAAAATAACCAGAGCAAAATGGACTGGAGGTGTGGCTCAAGTGGTAGAAGGCCTGCTTTGCAAGTGTGAAGATATGAGTTCAAAGCCCAGACCCACCAAAAAATAAAAGGAGGGAGGGAGGGAAAGAGGAACATCTGACTCCTCATCCAGCAATAATTGCCAGCATTTATTGAGCACCTACTACATGCCAAGCACTTTTCATGCTGCATGAATAATGCCATCTAACCCTACTCAACTCTATGAGAAAGGTATTGCTTCCATCTCATTGTAAAGATTTGAATTAAGGCTCAGAGAGCAAGTGACCTGTCCATGGCATCAAGGACCATAACCTTTACACCCTC